ACCCCCGCAAGCAGCAAAAAGAAGGATTAAGGAGCTTCAATCCATTCCTAGGATTTACACAATATTGCCAAAAGTATTGTCCCCGCCCCCCAAATCATGTGATTCAGGTGTTCCAATCCCCTCCATATCATGTGATTCAGGTGTTCCAATCCCCTCCATGGACACAGGTGTATACAATCCAGCCCCTAGGCATGCAGACGGCTTCTACAAACATTGGTGAAAGAATGGGTCGCTCTCAGGAGCTCAGTGACACCAAGCGTGGTCCCGTGATAGGTGGCCACCTGGGCAATAAGTCCATCCGGGACATTTCCTGGCTACTAAATATTCCACGCTCAACTGTTAGTGGGATTATAACAAAGTGGAAGCCACTGGGAACAACAGCTACTCAGCCACCAAGTGGTAGGCCACGTCACATGACAGGGTGGGGTCAGCGCATGCTGAAGCGCACAGTGCGCAGAAGTTGCCAACTGTCTGCAGAGTCAATAGCTAAAGACCTCCAAACTTGGTGTGGCCTTCAGATGAGCCCAACAACAGTGTGTAGAGAGCTTCATGGAATGGGTTTCCATGGCCGAGCAGCTGCATCCAAGCCTTCCATCACCAAGTGCAATGCAAAGCGTCGGATGCCGTGGTGTAAAGCACGCCACCACTGGATTCTAGAGCATGGAGACGTGTTCTCTGGAGTGACCAATCACGCTTCTCTGTCTGGCAATCTGCTGGACATGTCTGGGTTTGGCGGTTGCCAGGAGAACAGTACTTCCCTGACTGCATTGTGTCAAGTGTTTGATGGAGGGGGGATTATGGTGCGGGGTTGTTTTGCAGGGGTTGGGCTTGGCCCCCTAGTTCCAGTGAAGGGAACTCTTAAGGCAACATTTTGGACAATTTCATGATCCCAACTTTGTGGGAAGAGTTTGCGGATGGAATGGCCCCTTCCTGTTCCAAAATGACTGCCCACCAGTGCACAAAGCAAGGTCCATAAAGACATGGAGGAGCCAGTTTGGAGGAACTTGACTGTCCTGCACAGAGTCCTGACCTCAACCCCATAGAACACCTTTGGGATGAATTAGAGCGGAGACTGCGAGCCAGGCCTCCTCCCCCGACATCAGTGCCTGACCTGACAAATGTGCTTCTGGAAGAATGGTCCAACCTTCCCATAGACACCCTCCTAAACCTTGTGGACGGCCTTCCCAGAAGAGTTGAAGCTGTTATAGCTGCAAAGGGCGGGGCCAACTCAATATTGAACCCTACGGACTAAGACTGGGGGCCATTAAAGGTCATGTGCGTGGAAAGGGTGGGGCCAACTCAATATTGAACCCTACGGACTAAGACTGGGAGGCCATTAAAGGTCATGTGCGTGGAAAGGGCGGGGCCAACTCAATATTGAACCCCCTACAGACTAAGACGTGGAAAGGGGGGGCCATTGAACCCTATTAAACTGGGAGGCCATTAAAGGTCATGTGCGTGGAAAGGGCGGGGCCAACTCAATATTGAACCCTAACCCTATGGAAAGGGCGGGGGGACTCTATAAGACTGGGAGGCCATTAAAGGTCATGTGCGGGGAAAGGCGGGGCCAACTCAATATTGCCAACTCAATATTGAACCCTATGGACTAAGACTGGGGACCATTAAAGGTCATGTGCGTGGAAAGGGCGGGGCCAACTCAATATTGAACTCTATGGACTAAGACTGGGAGGCCATTAAAGGTCATGTGCGGGGAAAGGCGGGGCCAACTCAATATTGAACCCTACGGACTAAGACTGGGAGGCCATTAAAGGTCATGTGTGTGGAAAGGGCGGGGCCAACTCAATATTGAATCCTACGGACTAAGACTGGGAGGCCATTAAAGGTCATGTGCGGGGAAAGGCGGGGCCAACTCAATATTGAACCCTATGGACTAAGACTGGGGCCATTAAAGGTCATGTGCGTGGAAAGGGCGAGCCAACTCAATATTGAACCCTATGGACTAAGACTGGGGGGCCATTAAAGGTCATGTGTGTGGAAAGGGCGGGGGGGGGGGCCAACTCAATATTGAATCCTACGGACTAAGCTGGGGGGCCATTAAAGGTCACCGTGCGGGGAAAGGCGGGCCCATTACTTTTGGCGATATAGTGTATGTGGCGATCTTCTCAGAGATTGGTCATAGCGAAGAGCTTTGGATTGAGGTTGCTATGTACCAATCTTCGTTATGATTCAGCATGCGGCTCTCAGCCGGGAGCGGAGATATATCATCACACACATCTTCTCATATGGAAATGTGAGCCAATGATTATTATGTGCAGCTCGCAGTATAAATAATGAATTATCATCTTCCATTCAGCCAGCACGCTGCGAGCGATCCCGGGGCTGGCGCGGAATACGCCTTCCTGTCCAGCCAAGAAAATGAAGCAATTTGCAGCCATTGTTTGAAAAGAGCTCACGGCGCTGACAGATGGACAGTCCCCAATCGGCCGCAGATGACGAATGAAGGCAACTCTTTATTATCGACTCGGAAAACTCTTCGGATAACTTTGTGTTTCATAGACGATCCGCTGCCACGGGAAGTCACCGGGGAAAAGGTCCGTCCTTTGTGTTCTGAAGCCGCGTTGTCAGTCTGAGGTCCACTCTGCACCAGGAGCTCTTCTTGGACCTCACCCATCATGGCAAGATGGATCATTCAAAGCTGAATTCCAAAACCAGGAAAACAGATGACATACATATAAGGGAGATGTTTAATTTGAAGATGATATGTACTTCTGTCCATCCAGCTCTGAGATTTACACTGCTCTGCCACACAGCACAGCCTGGTCAGGCAGGGCAAGAGACTTGATTTATCTCAGCTGCAGTTCAGTAACACTTACAGGTCTTGCCCCCCCCCCCCCCCAGGCAGTGACTGGACAGTCAAAGGAGAAGCAGCAAACCATTGAGCTCATCTCTCTGTTTCTCTCTCCTCCCGCTAGCATGCTCCTTGCACTGCAGCACAAATGAGTGTACCATATGGATGCCTGACGTGGTTTCGGTTAGCGTGGATGCCTGAGGTGATTAGGTTAGCGTGGATGCCTGAGGTGGTTAGGTTAGCGTGGATATCTGAGGTGGTTAGGTTAGCGTGGATATCTGAGGTGGTTAGGTTAGCGTGGATGCCTGAGGTGGTTAGGTTAGCGTGGATGCCTGAGGTGGTTAGGTTAGCGTGGATGCCTGAGGTGGTTAGGGTTAGCATGGATGCCTGAGGTGGTTAGGTTAGCGTGGATGCCTGAGGTGGTTAGGTTAGCGTGGATACTTGAGGTGGTTAGGTTAGCGTGGATACTTGAGGTGGTTAGGTTAGCGTGGAATATCTGAGGTGGTTAGGTTAGCGTGGATATCTGAGGTGGTTAGGTTAGCGTGGATACTTGAGGTGGATATCTGAGGTGGTTAGGTTAGCGTGGAAGCCTGAGGTGGTTAGGTTAGCGTGGATATCTGAGGTGGTTAGGTTAGCGTGGATGCCTGAGGTGGTTAGGTTAGCGTGGTTATATCTGAGGTGGTTAGGTTAGCGTAGCTGAGGTGGATACGTGGATGAGGTGGTTAGGTTAGCGTGGATGCCTGAGGTGGTTAGGTTAGCGTGGAAGCCTGAGGTGGTTAGGTTAGCGTGGAAGCCTGAGGTGGTTAGGTTAGCGTGGATATCTGAGGTGGTTAGGTTAGCGTGGATATCTGAGGTGGTTAGGTTAGCGTGGATAGCTTGAGGTGGTTAGGTTAGCGTGGATGCCTGAGGTGGTTAGGTTAGCGTGGATATCTGAGGTGGTTAGGTTAGCGTGGAAGCCTGAGGTGGTTAGGTTAGCGTGGAAGCCTGAGGTGGTTAGGTTTAGCGTGGATAGCTGAGTGGTTAGGTTAGCGTGGAAGCCTGAGGTGGTTAGGTTAGCGTGGATGCCTGAGGTGGTTAGGTTAGCGTGGATGTTTGAGGTGGTTAGGTTAGCGTGGAAGCCTGAGGTGGTTAGGTTAGCGTGGATATCTGAGGTGGTTAGGTTAGCGTGGATATCTGAGGTGGTTAGGTTAGGTTAGCGTTAGGTTAGCGTGGATACTTGAGGTGGTTAGGTTAGCGTGGATGCCTGAGGTGGTTAGGTTAGCGTGGATGCCTGAGGTGGTTAGGTTAGCGTGGATGCCTGAGGTGGTTAGGGTTAGCGTGGAAGCCTGAGGTGGTTAGGTTAGCGTGGATATCTGAGGTGGTTAGGTTAGCGTGGAAGCCTGAGGTGGTTAGGTTAGCGTGGATATCTGAGGTGGTTAGGTTAGCGTGGATGCCTGAGGTGGTTAGGTTAGCGTGGATATCTGAGGTGGTTAGGTTAGCGTGGATGCCTGAGGTGGTTAGGTTAGCGTGGATGCCTGAGGTGGTTAGGTTAGCGTGGATGCCTGAGGTGGTTAGGTTAGCGTGGATACTTGAGGTGGTTAGGTTAGCGTGGATGCCTGAGGTGGTTAGGTTAGCGTGGATGCCTGAGGTGGTTAGGTTGGCGTGGATATCTGAGGTGGTTAGGTTGGCGTGGATATCTGAGGTGGTTAGGTTAGCGTGGATGCCTGAGGTGGTTAGGTTAGCGTGGATGCCTGAGGTGGTTAGGTTAGCGTGGATATCTGAGGTTGGTTTAGAGGTGGTTAGGTTAGCCTTCCTTGCTTCTCAAGGTCAAGTGAGCCTGATAGGGGTGAGAGGTGCCACGGGGCAATGGAGGGGAATGAATGTTGGCGTCTGCAGGGACATCTGAACAGCCGGGTAGGTACAGGTGTGTAGAAGCCTCAACTGGGAAAACAAAAACAAATTTTAACATAACACCTTATTTTAAACCCATAGGTAACATACTGGATGTGATGCTGAGCCACCACCATTGAACTGAAATCCAATGAATGAAATGGGCGGGGCCAGGGACAGTTAGGCTGGGGAGGAAATAACTAGTGATGCTGGATGTCCTCGAGCCAGGAAATGAAGCTAAATCTGACTTGCTGCAGCTGAATTCTAAAGCACATTGTGAGAAGTTATGAGTGTGCAGAGAAACCACAGGAAGCCATTTCACTCCAGGAGAGGAGCCGGGGTACACCTGTGCAAGACTGAAGTTAGGGGAGGAGCCGGTACACCTGTGCAAGACTGAAGGGGAGGAGCCGGTACACCTGTGCAAGACTGAAGGGGAGGAGATCGGTACACCTGTGCAAGACTGATCATGGGGTGGGTGGGCCCAGGGGTACAGCTTGCAAAGACTGAAATGGAGGAGCCGGTACACCTGTGCAAGACTGAAGGGGAGGGGCCCGGTACACCTGTGCAAGACTGAAGGGGGGGAGGAGCCGGTACACCTGTGGGTGTCAGACTGAAGGAGGAGGGGCAGGTACACCTGTGCAAGACTGAAGGGGAGGAGCCGGTACACCTGTGCAAGACTGAAAAGGGGAGGAGCCGGTACACCTGTGCAAGACTGAAGGGGAGGATTTGGCTGTCCTCGAGCCGGTACACCTGTGCAAGACTGAAGGGGAAGGAGGAGCCGGTACACCTGTGCAAGACTGAAGGGGAGGAGCCGGTACACCTGTGCAAGACTGAAGGGGAGGAGCCGGTACACCTGTGCAAGACTGAAGGGGAGGAGCCGGTACACCTGTGCAAGACTGAAGGGGAGGAGCCGGTACACCTGTGCAAGACTGAAGGGGAGGAGCCGGTACACCTGTGCAAGACTGAAGGGGAGGAGCCGGTACACCTGTGCAAGACTGAAGGGGAGGAGCCGGTACACCTGTGCAAGACTGAAGGGGAGGAGCCGGTACACCTGTGCAAGACTGAAGGGGAGGAGCCGGTACACCTGTGCAAGACTGAAGGGGAGGAGCCGGTACACCTGTGCAAGACTGAAGGGGAGGAGCCGGTACAACACTGTGCAAGACTGAAGGGGAGGAGCCGGTACACCTGTGCAAGACTGAAGGGGAGGAGCCGGTACACCTGTGCAAGACTGAAGGGGAGGAGCCGGTTACACCTGTGCAAGACTGAAGGGGAGGAGCCGGTACACCTGTGCAAGACTGAAGGAGGAGCCGGTACACCTGTGCAAGACTGAAGGGGAGGAGCCGGTACACCTGTGCAAGACTGAAGGGGAGGAGCCGTACACCTGTGCAAGACTGAAGGGGAGGAGCCGGTACACCTGTGCAAGACTGAAGGGGAGGTGCCGGAGGTGCAAGACTGAAAGGAGGAGCCGGTACACCTGTGCAAGACTGAAAGGGAGGAGCCGGTACACCTGTGCAAGACTGAAGGGGAGGAGCCGGTACACCTGTGCAAGACTGATGGGGAGGAGCCGGTACACGTGTGCAAGACTGAAGGGGAGGAGCCGATACACCTGTGCAAGACTGAAGGGGAGGAGCCGATACACCTGTGGAAGCGACTGGCTATTGATTTTGGCTTTATCTGTTGCACTGATAACATTTAGATGCGACTTTCATGTGACTTTCGAGAGTTTACATTGCACTGCAGGGCACACGAAAGTCACATCAAAGTACTGCAGGAACCTTTTTAAAGTTGCTGCAACTTGTTGCTGGCTGCTAGAAAATGTATTCTGTTGCAGGGTCTATAGTTGCTGGGGGGATCTATTTTTTCTTGGAGGTCTATTGTTGCTGTGTGGATTGATTGATGCTGGGCTGGTCTATTGCTGCTGGGGGGGGGGGACTCTGTGTTGCTGTGTGGATTGATTGATGCTGGGCTGGTCTATTGCTGCTGGGGGGGGGGACTCTGTTGTTGCTGTGTGGATTGATTGATGCTGGGCTGGTCTATTGCTGCTGGGGGGGGGGACTCTGTTGTTGGGGATTGATTGATGCTGGGCTGGTCTATTGCTGCTGGGGGGGGTGACTCTACTGATGCTTGGAGGATCTATTTTACTGTTTTTATTTTGTTATTACCAAATTCCATACAAATCACGTAGCACCAAAAATGACACCCGGTTCTGAATCCTCTAATAGGGGCGGTATTTGTAGGTGGGAAGGGGGTGGGACTGAGGGACAGTGCTCGGAGGTGGGTAGGGGGTGGAGTCAAGGAGTGACTTGGCTGGGGGGGGGGGGGGGAATTTGTAGACTATATCTTTCCTACAGACTACATACTACACTGATTAGGATTTATTTTTACCACTGAAAACAATGTAGCGATGTTCAGATCCTTAATGAAAATACACTTTTATGTGCCTTTTTTTTTTTACTGCCGTGTGAATGAGGCCCAAAGCCCGGTACAGCCATGAGATTGGAAGAAGGATCGTCCAGTTTTTATTGCATGCTAGTCTCATATCAGGGAAAAAAAGGGTTACTAAAGTCATGAAAATTCTCGTACGACAGAATACAACTTCCCGCGATGACGTCATTGATGTATTCCGAGCATGCGCGGTCTTGGTCATTCGATAATTTTTTGGATGAATGCTGCGCTGATTAAACGAAAAAAGAAAAATCAATCGTTCTGGTATCATATGAAAAGAAAAAATTTGTGTTTGTCCCTTCGGATATTTTCGCATGAACTGTCGCGCTGACGATACAATTATCAGGCGACACCTGAGGCGCGGTCGTTTTCATGCGATTTTCTCATCATGAGTGTGAGGCTGAAGAGATCTCGGTGCAGGAAGGATACAGAGTGTCACATGATGTAACAGTCGGGGATATTAGGATCCTTCCATGGGGATGATGGCGTCAGATCAGCCACATGGACAACGCGCGTCGCCCAGCTCTCACCTCCGGAGTATTCCGGAACGCACCGAAAGGGTTAACGGCTTCCTCTGCCGGCAGAAGCCGAGACTTTGACACATCGACGCAAATAATCAACCGTCCCCGCCGCTCCTGTTGTGAATTCTCACAGTAATTATTGTGAAGGTCGGGATGACCTCCAGCCGGCGCCGTGGATGTGGAAGCTTTGAAGGTTCGGGAACTTTTCATAACATTGAGCCGTCATGCAGCTGATTGGAGGTGCAGACGATGCGATTACCAAGATTACCCACCCAGCAACAATTGATCCCATCCCCAGCAACATCAGAATCCCCAGCAACATCAGAATCCCCAGCAACAATTTATCCCATCCCCAGCACATAAGAATCCCCAGCGACAATAAGAATCCCCAGCAACAATCGATCCCATCCCCAGCAACATCAGAATCCCCAGCAACAATTTATCCCCATCCCCAGCAACAATTTATCCCATCCCCAGCAACATAAGAATCCCCAGTGACATAAGAATCCCCCAGCGACATAAGAATCCCCAGCAACATCAGAATCCCCCAGCAACATCAGAATCCCCAGCAACATCAGAATCCCCAGCAACAATTTATCCCATCCCCAGCGACATAAGAATCCCCAGCGACATAAGAATCCCCAGCGACATAAGAATCCCCAGCAACAATCGATCCCCAGCCCATCCCCAGCAACATCAGAATCCCCAGCAACATCAGAATCCCCAGCGACATAAGAATCCCCAGCAACAATTTAGCGACCATCCCCAGCAACATAAGAATCCCCAGCGACATAAGAATCCCCAGCGACATAAGAATCCCCAGCAAACAATCGATCCCATCCCCAGCAACATCAGAATCCCCAGCAACATCAGAATCCCCAGCAACATCAGAATCCCCAGCGACATAAGAATCCCCAGCGACATAAGAATCCCCCAACCAGCAACAATTTATCCCATCCCCAGCAACATAAGAATCCCCAGCAACATCAGAATCCCCAGCAACATAAGAATCCCCAGCATCATTAGACCCTCCAGCACCCCTTGCCATTACATACATTCAGTGCTGGAGGTGCTGGAACTGTGTTCCCCCCACGTTCCCAGCTGAAAATACTACAAACTATGGGAAAATTGATCAATCCTGATGTACTGTCGGCCGATCTCATTTCTTGAGACCCAAAAACACCAGGATGGTACATATCCCCCCATATGTCAGGAAAGTACAACCCCCCCAAATGTCAGGACAGTACAACCCCCCCAAATTTCAGGACACTACAACCCCCCCCCAAATGTCAGGACAGTACAAATCCCCCCAAATGTCAGGACAGTACAGATACCCCCAGGGGGTGGACTGACAACTCATGGGGCCCCCAGGCAATAGGGATCATGGGGCCCTTATGTCCTTGCCCACACTCAAAGCACACCCCAAAAAAGCCTATAAAAAAGGTATCAGGGACATTTCATGGGGCCCCCCTACTGACCCCGGGCCCTCGGGCAGTGCCCGATAGTGTGCTTGAATGGTCAGTCCGCCCCTGGATACCCCCAAATGTCAGGACAGTACAAATCCACACAAATGCCAGGACAGTATAGATACCCCTCTAATGTCAGGACAGTACAAATATACCCCCCCCCCCCCGAGTGTCAGGACAGTACATACAAATCCCCCCAAATGTCAGGACAGTACAGATACCCCCAAATGTGAGGGCAGTACAAATCCCCCCCCCCCCAAATGTCAGGACGGTACAGATATCCACCAAATGTCAGAACAGTACAGATATCCCCCAAATGTAGGACGGTACAGATATCCCCCAAATGTTAGGACGGTACAGATATCCCCCAAATGTTAGGACGGTACAGATATCCACCAAATGTCAGAACAGTACAGATATCCCCCAAATGTCAGGACGGTACAGATATCCCCCAAATGTTAGGACGGTACAGATATCCCCCAAATGTCAGAACAGTACAGATATCCCCCAAATGTCAGGACGGTACAGATATCCCCCCAAATGTCAGGACGGTACAGATATCCCCCAAATGTCACGGTACAGATATCTCCCCAAATGTCAGGACAGGACAGATATCCCCCAAATGTCAGGACAGTACAGATATCCCCCAAATGTCAGAACAGTACAGATATCCCCCAAATGTCAGGACGGTACAGATATCCCCCAAATGTCAGGACGGTACAGATATCCCCCCAAATGTCAGACGGTACAGATATCCCCCAAATGTCAGAACGGTACAGATATCCCCCAAATGTCAGAACGGTACAGATATCCCCCAAATGTCAGGACGGTACAGATATCCCCCAAATGTCAGGACGGTAAAGATATCCCCCAAATGTCAGGACGGTACAGATATCCCCCAAAAGTCAGGACGTACAGATATCCCCCCAAATGTCAGGACGGTACAGATATCCCCCAAATGTCAGGACGGGACAGATATCCCCCCAAATGTCAGGACAGTACAGATATCCCCCAAATGTCAGGACGGTACAGATATCCCCCAAATGTCAGACGGTACAGATATCCCCCAAATGTCAGGACAGTACAGATATCCCCCAAATGTCAGAACAGTACAGATATCCCCCAAATGTCAGGACGGTACAGATATCCCCAAATGTCAGGACGGTACAGATATCCCCCCCAAATGTCAGACGGACAGAATCCCCCAAATGTCAGAACGGTACAGATATCCCCCAAATGTCAGGACAGTACAGATATCCCCCAAATGTCAGGATATTCCCCAAAGGACAGTAAAGATATCCCCCAAATGTCAGGACAGGACAGATATCCCCCAAATGTCAGGACAGGACAGATATCCCCGAAATGTCAGGACGGGACAAATCCCCCAAATGTCAGAACAGTACAATATCCCCCCAAATGTCAGGACAGTACAACCCCCCGCACACACACACAAATGTCAGGACAGTACAAATATCCAAAATGTCAGGATAGTACTCTTATCCCCCCCCCCCCCCCCCCCCAAATGACCCCTCTTTGGAAAGTAGACAGTCCAAGGTATTTAGTAGGCAGCATGGCGAGTTTGTTTGAAGTTGTCATTTTTTGTCACCATTTTTTGGAAAATGAAGAAATTAAATAAAATTTGGATATTTTTCACGATTTGATTTTTTACGTCCTGTCATTAGAGCAGTGCGCCGCCATCATATGACTGGTGTGGCGGTGATCGGGGACCCTGACTGGTGACAGGATGTAGAATTAAAAAAAAATAAAAATAAAATAAACACTTTTTAATTCAATTTTTTTAAACATTTGTTTTCTTTTTTTGCTATTTTTTTCACATACTGTCATCAGAGTAGTTCCTTGTCA